TCAAATTTTTCTTCTCCGTAACGCATCAGATTTTCTCGTGATGGGTTTAGAGGCTATAATGTCAGGTGGGTAGGGCTCGTTGACAAGGCAAATTGCCTTGAACTTGGTCACAATTCACAACTCATAAGGTAGTTTAGAATGAGTGAGGATCCTGGTCAAATTCTTTTTGTGAGGATTCTGGAGATTTTTAAATCATATATGTTCATCGTATATTTTACGATCAGAAATCACGGTAATTTTTTATTATTTAAAATTGAATATAAACAGTATCTGATGAAAATTAACCGTACAATGCACGATGAATAAATATTATTAGAGAATTTTCAAAATCCTCACAAAGAGGATCGGCCGTTCAGAATTTGAATGAGGGTGCCGCGCGCACACACTTAAGTGGTGACATTGACAACCATAATTACCAACAAGCCATGACTCATCATTCCATGTTGGTAGCATTGCTTACAAGCATACACAAAAGAAAAAAACTCACTAATCCTTTCTTGATTTCAAAACAATACCCCTTTAAACCAATTAAAGTAATTTTGTTTCATAATCGGAGTAATCTAGGGTTTCATAAAGTTTGATTCTTTATCTAGCAAAAAAGGAATTGTGATATAACTATGAGTGTATTAGTCATTTTTTCATGTTTTTATAAACGTCCAGTTAAAAGTGAACTTTATTTCAAATTTATTAGTTGTGGTTAAGTTTTATTTTCATCGATAGACTAACAAGGTAAAAATATGTTAATCGCATCAAAGAATTATTAATTATATACACATATACCATAAAACTCTATCTTCAAATTTGTGAGATAATTTTTCAGAACAAAGAAAGTAATCATACAAACATCCTTGACTTGAAAGGAGATGCATTTTACCATTTTCACACACACACACACGTGTGTATATATATACACACACATATATATATGTGTGTGTGTGTGTAATGTCTGAGTTTGAGTGGGTAAAAACTGCAGAGAAAAAATTTCAAATAGATGGCGAGAATAGGATGCATGCCAAGTGAATTTCATATAAGACTATCCGGAGCTTTAGATTGCGCATGCCATTTGTCGCCGTTACTTATACATGCAGCATTTGTCCTCACTCATATACAATTCTTCTTTTAATTTCTATATAACTTGCTGCTGGCCGGATTATGATTTAGACAGCAAAGAGCAGACTAAGATTAAACTAAATATTATTTTTCTACTTTAATATTGGACTATATATATAATTTTATATTGTTTTTTGTATGAACACAAGGAGCAAGTTAATTATACTTCAAATACTTTAATCTTCAACTAAATATTCAAACCCAATGTCTACAAAGTTGTATTGTATCCGTCTCATTATTTGAATAATCAGATGCTAATTCCAAGTAGAAGAAACCACGTTCTTGTACTCAATCATAGACATGTCTATCCAGAGTCAAATATAGTCTTTTCTTGTTCTCGTATCTTTACAAGGGAATACATTATCCACTAAGGGCAATTCCAGTGTTGCAAAGGTTCCCTAGGGCAACTCACTATTGAATAGCATCCAGTAAACAATAACTGTCTTTTGTATCTCCACACCTAAATTGAATAGCCTTGACAATACACAATAAAATATTAGTATTTTTTATTTTATAAAATAATACAAAATAATTTTATTTGTAATTTCGGATATAATTTTTAATCGATCTCGTTGTACCACGTGTCATTAAATAAGAAATTACAACCCAAAGTATTTGAGAAAATATAAAATTATGATATAAGTTGGAAGATAATGATAACATATTTATAGAAAAAATTAAATCGATTTTTTTTTAATTTTAATTTTTTTTCGGATTTTTATTCAAATTCTTTTCCATGTCAGTTGGTTCCCACATCTCTCTCTCTCTCTCTTACACTTTCCCTCTCTCTTTACCGACGTAACCATTCCCCTTCATTTCTGAAACCTCTCTCTCTCTTCAATCTCTCGACACTCTCATTCTCTTTCTATAGCTCCAACAGCTTTCATCCTTCCTCTTCTTCAAAACCGAAGCAAATCAAACTAACAAACTCTGAAATCTCAATCCCATGGATGAGGGGAACTTGAATATATCCTTGCATGCATCATCAGAGCACCATTTGGGTGATCCGTCCTTGAAGCTGAGAGCTTTAAGCTTCCATTGCTCAAACCCAGGTGAGGTTATTGCCCTACTTCAATTGCTTGAGTTATTCTCTGGTTTTTTATGTGTTTCGAGTTGAAACCCTTGGGTTTAGTCTTTGCCATTTGTCTGTGGGTGTATCATCAGCCTCGGCGACGAACTCCGACGAGAGCCATTGAGTTCGAAGCTTGCTGGGTTTTACATTTTTTTTAATTTTTTACCTTTTTTTTTTTTTTTAATTTTTTACATTTTTTATTAATATTTTATATTATGTCTGACGTCGCCCTGACGTTAACATTGCATCACCCTCACCTCAGGCTCTCAGGCCACTGATTCGTGACGGGCCTGTCACTCAAGTCACTCGGGCCCCCTCCTGCGTTGAAGCCCGCATAGGTTAGAGTTGATCGCCACATCGATTTGCTTATTTGCAATCCACTGTCCATTGGGCTAAAGGCTCCACTGGACTTGCTCTCATATTTATAACCATCTTTTAGGAATTGGCTTCGCTGGTGCTCCAGCTTCATTACTTTATTGTTTGAGTGTACGTTGTTGCATGTTTCTTATAAAAAATAAGGGAAGTTGAGAATGGAGGAAGTAAGAACGAGAACCGAATCGAGTTCTACCTTTAATCCTAATTGTAGTATGTTTACTTCTAAGGCGAGACCACAAATTTTTTTGATTTCTTAAAACATCTCCAAAGGATATGTCTAAACATGAAATTTAAATTTAAAAGCTTATGTGGCACTTTGATTTTTTATTTTTTTTTTTAAATTTTGTTCTCCAACCAATATGCCAAATTTAAACTATTATTTATTATATTATTTACTTTTCATAATTGTATAATTATTTTAGAACAAAAAATAATTATAAAAACGATAAAAAACATTTATTAATCACGAAAAATAGATTTGAAATTGTTGTCTGTTAAGCATTATGTAGAAAAGAGAATAGAGAGATTGTAGAAGAAGAAGAAGAAGCAGAAGAAGGAAACAGAGAAAACTTAGAGAGAGACAGATAGAATGATTTTTCACTTGTATTTTCTTGATTGATTAACTAGTTACAGAGATACAGTTGCTATATAGATGGATATTCACCTAACTGCCTTATTCAAATCTTACACTAGCAACAATCCTAACTGCCTTATCTGTTTGGCTAATGACATTTGTCATAATCCACACCTTCCATTACATCCCCCCACAAGCTCATGGTGGTCCAAGCATGAGATTGTTGCAGTTGGAGAGTATCTGGCAATCTAAACTCTTTTTGGATAGTATTCCTTGCAATTGGAGAATGGAGTATCTGGTCATTGCTGCACACATACCCTGCAATAAGAAAACCTCCTAGCATATGGAGCTTGTATTTTACCATTATATCGTGTATACCATAATACCTAAATCAACATAGACTTGGTGCCCCACCCTTATAAACAATTCTCATATCTAAACATGAAATTTAAATTTAAAAGCTTATGTGGCACTTTGATTTTTTATTTTATTTTTTTAAATTTTGTTCTCCAACCAATATGCCAAATTTAAACTATTATTTACTTTTCATAATTGTATAATTATTTTAGAACAAAAAATAATTATAAAAACGATAAAAAACATTTATTAATCACGAAAAATAGATTTGAAATTGTTGTCTGTTAAGCATTATGTAGAAAAGAGAATAGAGAGATTGTAGAATGAGAGAAAAGAAGAAGAAGAAGAAGAAGAAGAAGAAGAAGAAGAAGAAGAAGAAGAAGAAGAAGAAGAAGAAGAAGGAAACAGAGAAAACTTAGAGAGAGACAGATAGAATGATTTTTCACTTGTATTTTCTTGATTGATTAACTAGTTACAGAGATACAGTTGCTATATAGATGGATATTCACCTAACTGCCTTATTCAAATCTTACACTAGCAACAATCCTAACTGCCTTATCTGTTTGGCTAATGACATTTGTCATAATCCACACCTTCCATTACATCCCCCCACAAGCTCATGGTGGTCCAAGCATGAGATTGTTGCAGTTGGAGAGTATCTGGCAATCTAAACTCTTTTTGGATAGTATTCCTTGCAATTGGAGAATGGAGTATCTGGTCATTGCTGCACACATACCCTGCAATAAGAAAACCTCCTAGCATATGGAGCTTGTATTTTACCATTATATCGTGTATACCATAATACCTAAATCAACATAGACTTGGTGCCCCACCCTTATAAACAATTCTCATATGGTAGCCTAACTGAATATCAAATATACTTCCACCATTGCATAACCGAAGTACATAAAATCCTCAGAACTCATGTACAACAGTTTGAGTCGAAACACCAATTTTCACCTTGTTGTCAAGTTAAGAACTGGAAATGTCACTCGAATACACGATTGTAAACCCACTGAAATTAGCTGAGAGTATGCACTTTCCTTGTCAATACATTCCAAAACTTGTTTTTCTGCATCATCTAAAAACATTTCATCTTCTGAAACAATGAAGTGAGAGAGAAAACCAGACTGGCGATCATAAGCTATATAAATTTCAACATTAGAATTGCTCTGTAAAGGTGTTTCATGATTTTGCAGGATGACTGGACACACTAGTTTAAGTTGTTAATCCAATGTGCTTTGACATGATTCAGGGGTTGAAATTGAAGATTGAGCATTCTGTATGTGACAACAATCATCATCAAAATGATCTTTCTGTGAACAAATTTGATGTGATCCGCTAGTTTGTGAACTTTCTTCACCAACAGAACTAGTTGGTTGCTCCTCGGTTTTCATTATAATTGTTGTATCACAATCGTTATGCTTTAAAGCATTGATAGAAGCTCCCGTTGTCGAATTAAGTGGTAGGGAAAATCCAAGGTAATGAGAGAAAGAATTGACCATAACAGAGTTCGTCTCAATTGACTTCATTGAATCAGAAAATCGAACCTGATCCTGCAGGTTTGGATATTGTGTAATAGATGAGTTGGTAGTTTGAGCAAAACAATGGGCAACAAGATGATCCTTATGTGAACAAATTTGACATGTAGTAATTTCAGGTGGCAGAGAACTAGGATATGAAGATGGAGGTGAGCCAAGAATTCCATTATAACTATCAACATTATTACCATAGCTTGACTGGCATGAACTAAAATTGGATTGAGCATGATAACCACCATTGAAGCCAGCATGAAATTGAGAGCTAAAGAGAGGAAAGAAATATCCTTCTGTCTCACATTCAACAAGAGCACAATCCACAATGGCTTCCTCAGTGAGCAATTATGCACAAAACTCCTTGAGTGAAATGATGCTCTCACGCCCTTTGAGTACACATTTAAATGTGTTGTATTTTGGAGGGAGTCCATTCAATGCAATAATCACAAAGTCTTCATCAACAAGTGTGACACCAAGAATATAAAGTCCATCATTTGCTCCTTCAATTCTTTGAAGATATTGGGAAATTGAATTTGATCCCTTCTTAATGTTGTGAAGATCAGTCTGTAATTTGATTATACTGGTTTTTGTACGTGGTAAGAAAAACTGGTTTTGAAGACGAACCTACATCTCTTGAGAACTCTTGCTACCAATCACACAGGAAATAACGGATAAATAAAGTGTGGCAGTAAGTAACAACATGCATTTTCCAAACTTTGCAATCATCAATTTCAATTCTTGAAGATGAAGTACCAGATGTTACCTCTGAATCTCCTAAAGAAGTAGAAGAAAACTAAGCAAGAAAGAGATTCGATCTATCAACGAACCCCATAAGTCCATGGACTTCAAGCATTAACTGCATCTGAAAATGCAATTGTAGATAGTTGGTCTCATCCAGCTTCACAGTAACAGACGTGGAAACGGATGAAATCAATCCAGTGATGGGTGATTGCAAGATTTGATGTTGATTCGCAATTACCATTTTGGAAAAATGTAGAGAAATCTGTTTGAGGAAAAGACTCAAACACCTGGTGTGCACAAAAGAAAGCAGTGCTCAACGCTTGAACTACTAAACATGTTCCTTCAAACTGTGCGATATGGTAATTTTGTCTTTCAAGTGGAGCAAGTCAAAGACGGCTCCAGGAATTTTCAAAAAACTCAGTAGCAAATTCATGGAATCCAGTCTTAGTTGCAGCCATAGCATCAGAATCTCATTCGACTACCCTAACAAGTGAACCCACAGATGTCTAAACAAATGCTTCCGCAGATGCAACAAATTGCGCATTAAAAAAAAATGTGCCTTTTTAAAACAGCAGTAGTTAGAAAGAATGGGAAGATGTAACCATCCACTCCTTAAGCAAGTATGGATACAGATAAGGAAAGACTAATGGTACAGGTCGAGATTGAAGCCCCATCAGAGTTACCATGAAGAACTGGGTAAACTTGATACACCCACAAGATAGAAGAAGAAAGAATTTCGTGTAGCGGAAGCAAAAGAAAGGATCGAAGAAGCTGATCAAGCTTTAATGGCGATTGATACCATGTTAAGCATTATGTAGAAAAGAAAATAGAGAGATTGTAGAAAAAGAAGAAAGAAACAAAGAAAACCTAGAGAGAGAAAGAGAATGATTTTTCACTTGTATTTTCTTGATTGATTAACTAGTTACAGAGATACAATTGCTATATAGATGGATATCCACCTAACTGCCTTATCCGAATCTTACATTAGCAACAATCCTAATTGCCTTATCTGTTTGGCTAATGACATGTGCCATGATGCACACCTTCCATATCCTATATACTCTAACACTGTCAACTTTGACAACAAGCAACTTTACTGTCAATCTACATCATACCACAAGGAACTGGTATTTCGATTGGAAAACACTAATGATGTCTTTTTCTTATTGTTATTGCTGATGTGGACCTTCTCATCCTTTGGAGATGCTCTTAGGTGTTAGTAAATGTAGGGTAAGTTAGGAATTCAAATGATTTATTTTCTTCTCGTATTCATTCATCATAGGATAATGCTATTTGAATTTATTGACCACCTTACTCATCAACTCTCTAGTAGAGGTGTATCAACTCTCTAATAGAGGCATATCCCACCAATGTATGCGAGTTCCACTTGTTTTAGAAAAGTGGTCAACAAAGTGATCAATAATTAGAGTTCAAATAGCATTATAGCATTATTTTCTTGATATACGTAAACACACCATTAAATTAATTAATTTTAAAAAATAAGGATTTAACAAAATATGTAGAATCGTGCGTTAAAAGTTAGGCAGGAGGTGTAAAATCACGTGGTTTCTTAGCCATAATAAGCAAATGAAAATCGAGACTAGGGTTCCACCAAAATCAAACTAACCCTAAACCTAAATATGTAAGAAATACCAAGCGTGGGCAAAACGCCATGGAAAAACTTGGGTACGCCACCATAATTGTTGAGTGGCATTTACGTGATGGCCATCTCCCACCAGTTCCAACCACTCTCAAACGTCCATAATAGTGCAACATTAAGTAAGGATGCTTTTGTCCACTTGTGTGGGACTTGCATGCCTTTGGGTTTTCTTAGGGTTTTGACCTTCTGAGAATCGGAGCCTTCCATGCCACAAAAGCTTTATGAAATATCTTGGTGTACAAAATGAACATGATTATGATTTATGAGTTAGAAAAAAAGAAAAACTAGTCAAATATAAAATAGTTCATGCATTATATTCGCGTACTAAATAGATTGACATGCATGCGTTATATTCTCTTATCAAATAAATTATTAACTATGCATGGTAAATTGTTATTTTGTAGTTTGAATATGCGTTCAAACAAATTAACTCCAGTTATTTAGGAAGAATGTTAACAAAATCAATATTATTTGGTTGAATGGCACTATGTTTATTTTTTGTTGGGAAAAGTGAGGCACTAGTCCAACGAATAGAATGCTAAGAATCAACGGGATTTGAATCAAGTTTGATGCCTTTGATAACAGAAAACGTGTTACGTTCCAAATAGAAAAAAAATCTAGTATTCTTTTACTCCCAAAGGCCATCAAAACCAATGATGATGTTGACGATGGTGATGCAGATGTCTGGTTAGTGGTAATAAATTTGGTTAATTAAAGATATTTATAATATGTATTATATATAGAGGTTCTAAGGAGACTCTCTCAAAAGTTGACCCCTCTATTGATTCTCTGATGCTTCATGTTTTTAATATAATATTTTACAATATTGACATAAAAACTAATGTTAAACTGTGAAATGTTAAATAGTACATGGTGAGTTGTACTTTTGAGATTGTCTCTTTAGCATTTCTTTTAGAGAAGTGTTATTGGCACTCCAAAAATCTTATTCTACACTTCTCACAAATGTATTTTTCTTTCTAAATATAGAAAGTTTAGAATGTAAAATGAGAAATTTGAAGTACCAATAACAATTCTGTTCTTTTATATATAACAACATTTGGTAGTCAAAATTCTGGGCCGGCCTTTCACTCAAAGAGTAATGGATTGTCTCGTGCCCTCCATTTGAAAAATCCAAAGGCAAAACGCTCCTCTCTCTCTCTCTCTCTCTCTCTCCCTCCCTCCCTCCCTTATCTACAACGTCCACATGGTGGCAGTGAGTAGTGAGTAGTGACTGTGCCCAGGTGGGCAGCCCACCTTCCACCCAACTTTTTTTTACCATAATGTTTGTTGAAGTATTAGCAGCCATTTGGCGGCCTTGTAGTTAGTTCTTTGCATGTACTACGTAGACCTGTTCGCGAATAGGAGTTTACTTATCAGTTCAGCAGCTTCATCCCCATCCAAATAACGCATAGGTTGGGTCCTGTTCAGTCTTGTGTTGAACACTGCACTTGGAGTTAGACTGACTTAAATGATTAATTTGAATTCATACGTATGAAATATGCAAGCTGATATTTGATTTTGTTTGGTGCCTATCGAAGCTTAAGGAGCCGTTTGATAGTCATTTCATTTTAATTTTTGAGTTTTTTCTTTTTTGATTTTTAGGTTTCACTTTTTATTAAAACTGAAATCTTATTTGGTAATTATTTCAATTTAAAAAAATAACATTTATAAGACCAAATTTTGCAAACTCAAGAAAGTAGTTTTTAATTTTCAATATATTTTTTTTAAAGTAAAAATTGAAAGTAGTTACCAATCAAGATTTCAGTTTAAAAATAAAATAAAAACCAAAAACTAAAATTTGAAAATGAAATTGTTATCAAACGACCCCTAAGTGGTATGATTGTTTGGTAGTACAGTAGATATGAAGAAATTATTGTGTATTACTTAAACATGTCACTTGATATAACCAGTCTCCATGCATACTATAATAGAGTGGTTGATTCAATAATCATATATGTACATCGTTTTTTGTTGAGCTCTATCAGTGAGATGTTTCATCTAACACTTGATGGAATTGTTGACATCAATCTAAGTCATTTGAAAAAGACATCAACTGTATAGACATCTGCGGAGTCCCAATAGCTTCTAAACAATTTTTTCCAGTAGGATCCCGGGACCCGGTAGGTCCGTTTAATGTATCGACCCTTGAATATAAGTAGATACCACTTAATTATATACCCTATAAAATAATCTCATCTTCTATTCATTTATAATATTTATAATACGTGAACTAATTATACTGCGTGGCATAGTTTTAAACACTAATGACCTAATCGGAATGCCAAATGCAATGAGCATTTCACTTTTCAAATTATGATGTTATGGCCATTGGAGCTAAACAGGTTCCTATTTCGGATCAGCTCTACCATTTTATGTCCCACATACACGAACCTTTCCTTATGTTTTATATCGGATCATGTGTTTAAAAGTGGTTGGTTTGTAAAGTCAATTAGGTCCACAGAATTTGGTATTATATATCTGTTAGTATTTGATAAGATAACATCATCGAAATTTTCAAGTCATACTTGTTAATTTATAGAGTATAGAAGTCCAAATTAAGCTTGTTAAACAGATATTTCATCAGGAATTATTAAAATAGCTTAATTATATATGTTACTATTACTTGAATCTGGCAATATGCTATTGCCTTTGCTATCTACCACAGGTCCACAACTCTAGGCTGATAAAAACGAAAGCACGCCTTGGCTAGTTTCAGTATTTTTAGGGAGCAACATTTGCTCGTCAAATTAATATGAGTAGAACTTGAAACCTCCCACTTATAAAAATACTTATGCTCACCGATCTTAAATGTTGATGTGCATCACCCCCACCGCATAGATTGTCGTTAGATAGATTTATATTTCGAATTTTTTTTTGTAGCAGATAAATTAAATCGCAATCATCTCACAGGGAAATTGATCATCTCCGAATCCCTTCCACCAAATCCACCCAATCAATCAATTCGGACCCTTGAAATTTAATTCAACAGCTACAAACAAAGGGCCCCTTTAAAAATTATAATAACTTTAACCGTTTAATCAAATTTCAAGAATCTAAATTAGGTAATTTGGTGGAAGGGATCAGGAGATGATCCCTTTCCATCTCACAAAAAATATTGGGTGCGGAGAAAAGTGCACCCTCCCACACCAACAATAGAAATTAATATCGCTGGATGATGGTACAAGTTACTATTGGGTATGTATCGCGCAGTTGATCAATCAACGAGCCCATTTCTTGGATTTGATTCAAGCCCATTTACCAATGAAATGCCAAATGGCCCATCAAGAGAGATGTGAGATTGGCCAGCCCAGTTCACACCTCTCAAGACCAGATGAAAATGCGACCCTAAATCCCTTCTATGGGATCAATGCGATCATTTTTTATTTTTTATTTTTTTGCTTCTTGTTTTTGCAGGTGGTTAGTTTGAGATTGTCTCTGTATGAATCATTATTTCTCGTAAGCACTTTTATTTAAAATGGTCTTGTTATAAACATGCCAATTTTGATTTTTTTCTTTTTTTAGTACATCGATTTTTTACACTAAGAAAAGGGAAAGTTCAGCTAAACCACATAATGGGCTGCTTAATTTGGTATCGAATTCTCTATCTATGAGATTAGAATCTAAGACCTTGCATTTTCAAGTGAAAAGAAATATCATCATACCATAGTACTGAGTAGGCCAATTTTCTATTAAACATTTAAGTTTTTTTCGAAGGTTTAAAAGTGCTTCCTAAAGAAGTACTTGATAAATGTAATCAAAAGAAATTTATGTTTTTTTTTTTTTTTGGTTGAAGAAGTCAAAAGTAACCTACCCCAACTCCCAACTCCAACGCCAAAGGGCTGCAAAAGAAATGATCGATATTTACACATATGACCTGATGCCTTGTAATGCAATTTGTCCCACTTTACGCCAAGTCTGTCAATCAATACAAATCATCCAATTCTAAACTTTCTACACATATATACTAACTAACCAATTACTTGGTTTAGCGCTAGTATCTATATATCTTTGTTTTTTTTTTTGTAGCGCGACGGATTACCACTGTTATCGCATTATATGTGCATTTACAGCAATCGTATTATATGTACATTTACAGCATGCAAAATAAGGTGTGTAGCATATAGCTGCAGGTTCTCTCTATAAGCAACTTGGTTATCTGTCAGCCACGTTCCTACTTCATGAATATTAATTAGTATGAACTTTTCTGTGCTAATTAATCTGGTTTAGATATTACAAGAGG